TTTTGAGTTATATTTAGGTCCTTACATATGTAATTACTTGAAATCAAGTTCATGCGTGTTTGGGCCAGCTTACACGCAAGCAACGTCAATATCAACACGTGTAAATGTACCTATTTATGTGCCTACTCCCATGCATGCACCTTTTGGTAGTTTTATTCCCTTTTAATGAGCCTCGTTTTACGACCATTTAGGTGTGTATTATATTTATAAACATACAACCCTCGGTACACACGCACCAATTTCAACTGTTTAACGAGCTGCCAATGTCAGCCCCTGCATGACTTCTAATCCTGACACTTTTATGGTTTCCATTTATTAACCCCAGCGTCTTTTATTGGGCAGCGCACTCAACGCATGCCACCCATAGCGGAAACGGAATGTTCTATTAAATTGGTGTTGAATTGGTGGTAGAAAGTACACTTTAAAATTAAATTGGCTTTATTGACAGATTCGGCATTCAAATTTACAATATAAAGATCTGCCTTATAGACATAGCTATATTTAAAATTGCAGTACTTTTACGAAGGCAAGAAACACGTTTTCCTTTAAATGAATGTGTTTATTTTGCTGGGCTTATGAAATTTTTCTTATTTAGTCAAGAGGATTTACTTTGACTTTTTGCTTGTATTCGTAAAGTCAACATCGTTTGGTTGCGCATGCCGTACAGGTTTCCGTAGTGTAGTGGTTATCACGTGTGCTTCACACGCACAAGGTCCCCGGTTCGAACCCGGGCGGGAACAATTTTTTTTTTTTTTTTACATTTCAGATATAAATTTATTATAAAAAATGGTTTTTAAAATTAAACTAAAATGTTTATTACACGCTTTTTTGCGTTAAGAAAGTTTATTTCAAATGCGAAACGCTCACTATTGAAAGCTTAAAGCTTTAGATACAAAAGCTTTTGGTGGAATTTATCAAGGGCTCGCCTATTTCTGTTGTTTTAGAACAGTCTTTAATAGTGGAAAAGCTGTTAAGTAGCAACTCAACTGTTGTGTGTATACAAGGGGATGTAGCTCAGATGGTAGAGCGCTCGCTTAGCATGTGAGAGGTACGGGGATCGATGCCCCGCATCTCCAATGAATTTTTTAGTCATGTTAATCATTTTTTATCTTTTAATATTTTATCCACTTTGGATTTATATTTGTGACCAAACATTTTCAATTATTTGGTTTAGAAATTATGCTGGCTACAGATCAACTCAATTTAAATGCTTCTAAATGGCGACTTTCACACGCTTCCCACCCAAAACCCGAACTGGCATGTTATGCAATCGGGTTTCAGCTTTAGCTTTTGCTCGTTTCCCGGCTGTACACCCATTGCTCCGAGCAGGAAGAGTAAAAGAAGCCAGGGCAGAATCTCCGACGCTAATCCAATTAAGCATATTCATCATATTCACGCGAACGCAGGCCATGAACTAGAAAGACAACGTATAGAGGGGGAGCCAAACGAATATCGTGAAAAATGCTGACATTTCCGTCATGTTGCGTTGATTAAAACCTAATTGAATTTAACTGGAATTCTGTCAATTTTCAACACTTTTCATAATATTTTACAACACTTCTTGCGTAAGTGTCAAAATATTAACTTAAGCGGAAAAGTAAATGTATAACGAATTGTAGTCGAAGAATTTCTAAGCAAACAGAAAAAACGAAATTATCAAATTTTATAAAAGAAATCTTTCATTCAAATTTATTGAATAAACAATTTGTAAGCATAGATAGCATAACTATCTAAAATGCCCGAATATTTCAAATAACTTATTTTCATCTATCTGTTTCACAAGCATTTAAGAAATGCGGGAAATCGAAAGTTTGATAGATGCCCCTTTCAGTCAAATGAAATCAGGTTAATGAAATATTTCAAGTACTGATATCCGGGCTGTGACCAGTTGCCACAGGTCTAATGTCTAAACGTGCTATCTAATCTGTGGACTCCCCATTAGATTCGCCTTCTATTAATGGCATTGACATTGCAATTAAATAATTGCAGTTCAGCTGTTGCTGCTGCTGCTGCCGGGGGCATAACCTGTTGCGTGTGATACAGTCAAAACGGTGTATTCTCTATACGTCACGTAGACAGAGTAACAGCCATGCAAAAACTGAAAATCAAAACCGATATACTCGAATAACCATAAAGCTGTGGAAAATAAAATAAACAATCGATTGCAGACGTAGACATAAACCTAAGCGACAATATCAATATCGTACAATCCGAAACTTGAATACCCTAATGTAATGAAATGTGCGAATATTTATAAATTACTGTAATTATTATGATAATTAAATGACAAAAAAATATTTTAGAAAAAAATTAAATATCTCAATTGGTAGTTTTATGAAAGTTTTCTTGCTTTGAAGTCCAATTTTCGTATATTATATCACAAAACGGGTTGTCTATAAAAATGATTGAAAAGCTTGGTAATAAAATAGGGAGTAAAACTTTAAGCGTATTTTTATAATAATTAGAAAATATAATTAAATAAATTAGTATTTTTCTAATATGAAATTATTTACTTGATTCTATTCCCCACTTCAATAAGCGAATCGATATCGATAAATATGGGTGTGCATTAATTATCTTATCAAAAATCAATTAATTATCTATACAAATGCAAGGGAAACGCGACCTAGAGCAATTGCAAAAAATGCCACTTAAAAACTGTTTCAAAAAAACCCCTGATAACCTTCACAAAACGGAATACCAAGTCTTCTTTCGTTTCTTAAGCAATATTCCAATTAGACAAAAATACAACGGGACCCGATCAGCTGACGACGCACAAGTGAAAGCCAAACAGCCGGCGGATTCTTATTTAAACTTCCATTGGCCTCTAATCAGCGACATCCAAGATTGCTTGATATCAACACAATGCGCATTCAGTGGCAGCGGAAGGGAGAGTGTCAGAGGGGGAGAGAGAGAGAGCGGCGGAGAAAGAAAACGCCGGCACCTTCGCCGTGTCATTGTGATCATCAGAATCGCCTGATAAGCAGTGGCAAATTTTTGTTTTTCTTTTCTTCTCTTTTTTCACAAATTTGTGGAAGTGCGCGTGCCGAGCGACGTCGACTGCGACGTCACCGAACTTTATGCTTAATGCTGATTTAGGTTTTTTTCGTTGCTCCAAATTTAAAGATGGCAGCGGACGGCATAGTAAACGCAGGCACGATGTGCACGAAAAAAATTTGCGAACACGCTTAAAAATTGTATAAAAGCAAATGTTGTTCTTAAATAAACATTTTCTTTGAATATCTATATTTTTTTTTATTTAAAACAATTTATTAAAAGTAGCCTCTCAAACAATATTTTGCAATGTCATATTTAGGCCAAGTAGTTTTATTTTGTGGGAAGTTGCATTATTTCTTGTTAGACGTAAGAGAAAAACAAAAAAGTTGTCCTTACATGTTATAGTAGCCAACATGAACACGATCAAGTCAGTTTTGGTTTAATTCGTTTTCGGCTATGTTTAGTCAAATTAATCAGATACAAAATTATCCGGCAACAAATCCTGTTTTCCAACACTTAACTATTGTTTAGAAGTCCTGCGGATTCGTGACACGTAAGAGCTTACGATTCGCGTTCAGCTCCCGCAAATTCTGTTCTGTTGCCAAGTGCTGCAGAGCTTTGTGTGATGGCTGCTCCATTTGCCAATTGCCTCGTGTTTCGTCTATTCATGCGAAAATTTCAGCAGCGTTGAATGAATGAACGTGAATGTGGGAACCTGAGCAATCGGCAACAGCAGCAGTTGTCGTCACAATTTCGCCATTTCAAGGCCTACGTGACTTGTCTCACATATGTATGTATGGAACTGGGTCTGGGTCTATAACGGCGGGTGCAGAGTCTCCGCACTTGACATTTTGTGCTTAGGGGCGTTCGTTAAGCATTTGTCGCCCACTGTATATTATGTTTGTCGTAATTTGAGCGCAAATCGTAATTGTTCTCACCATTATTTATTCAATTATAGCACACGCTACGTATGCGTTATTTTTCGCAATAGCAATTGCACCAGCTGCTCGCACACCACATGATCTTGCCTGTTGCCACACGTGCTAGCGTCAGGCTATTACGGCAAAAGGTCTTTGACAGTCGTCTGACAGAGAAAGAATGAGAGATTACTTAACAGAGATAGTGTCTGCTGTATCTATCTCTCTCGCAGTTGCTGATAATACCTGGCTGCCAGCTGCTCGTATTCCATGCCAAATAAATCACATAAAGATGGCATATAAGAACCAACAAACAGTGCCTAAAATATAGTTAGAGAAAAACTGCTACATTTAGTGAAGTTCAATTAAAACAACAAATAGTTTGCCCACCGCCCGCTGCTTGTTTATAGAATAAACAAGTAAGAGGTTCTAGTCGAGAGCTCCCGACTAGGAGATACCCTGAACCCTCTTCTTCCAACATCAAATGCATATATATATTCTATTTTAGAAGCTATATGTCAAATTTGGTGACTCTAGCTCATATTATTTACCAAACGGAGTAAGTTATCGATTATCGGAAACAAACTCGATCTGCGCGGGAACTAGGAGCACCTACATCTAAAATTTCAAGCTCAAGTCTCTAGCTCTTATAGGTTCTGAGATCCTAGCGTTCATACATACGGACGGACGGACGGATGGACATACAGACGGACATGGCTATATCGACTCGGCTATTGCTACTGATCAAGAATATATATACTTTATGGGGTCGGAGATGCTTCCTTCTTACAAACATTTGGCTTTCGCACATATACAATATACCCTTATACCCATTTTTAATGGGTTCAGGGTATCAAAAACTGAACGTTCCGCCTTGGAGGCTGCCGAGAGTTTTACTGGTCCAAAAAAATAAGCAGCAAAACGCATACATTTTTAGCAAACTAAGTGGCTCGGGCACGAAACATCTATGGAGCGTTTAAAAGATTAACCCAAAGAAAAAATAAATGAAAAAATTAAACGCTCATTCATATTTTTAGAATGTTTTAAGCATAGTATAATTTATTTCATGCGGTTTGAATATCCATTTTCTCTCTTATAATTTCATAGTGTTCAGTCTTAAATAATAGAAATTGTGTTTAAGCTAAACAAAAGGTGCCAATATCTAATAACTATACTTAAGGTTTGATAGTAAGTATATATATATACACAATTTTGAATAAAAACTTAGGCCTATAAATTAGATCAGGAACTATAGCTTGTGCGTTTCGGTGGTACGTCTATATACTTGTATATTCCTTGTATATACTTGTATATACTTGTATATTCCAGTTAACCAACTCAGAGGGCGGTACTCGGCTATAGCCAGAGCATAATCAGCAGCAGCTGTAGGAACAACAATTGGAGGCTGTAAGTGCATAGAAAATGTATTAAATAAGATTTTTGGGATGGGGTAATTTAGAGATTTGTTTTTGTTTTCGTTTTTTTTTTGGGCATAAAAATGAATTGCATGCCAAAAGTCAAATATTATTATGGAATTTTGTAGTTTGCATTTCATTTTTGTGTGTTTGTTAAGTGCAAATGCCAAAATTAATTAAATATTTAAGAATTTTTAAAAACCATGCAAGTAAACAATGCTAAACCCAACTAAAACATGTTATATTACATTTTAAATACTTTTTTCTAACTACGCCACGCTTACCATTCAAAAATTATTTTCTGTTTTTTATTTATGCTCGTTTCCACTAAGTTGCAAAAACAAATTGTTCATATTAATTTTTGTATAATTTTAATTTTATTTTTTTTTTTTATTTTTAGTTGCAATATTTTGTTTTTCATGCTGTTTTCATTGCGTTGCAGCACAATAATTGTAGAATTTTTAATGCGTAAATTTATGTATAGCTAAAAAATTTGTTAGTCTACAGTTTTAAGATAAAACTTAATAGGCAAAATGTATAAATAAATGTTGTTATTTTTTTGTAAAGTAAAATATAATAAATTAATAACCTAAAAAGTATATTATTTCTAAATTAAATGTATATAATTTAATTTCACGCACATTTATCGTATTCGTAGCAAATAAATAAAATAATTACAGGTTAGTCTACACTATTAATTAAAATACAATTCATTGATTTGTGAGCTCCGTTTTTGTTTTAATTTTTTTTTTTTAGTTTTTCTTTTGTCGTTGGCTTCATTGTTTCGTTTATGGCTTTTGGGATTATATTAATTTTCGTTGTTGCCGCACTTAAGATTGGTATACATGGCTTAAACTACGCACTGAGAGGCAGCGAGGTTCGAATTCGACAATACCACATAAAATTGAATATATATAAGCATACATATATATATATAGTAGGTATAGGTAATTATAATCAACTGACGTATCATAATCGTAAAACTATTTACAAAACAAATTTCGCATGCGAACTATTCGAATTGTCACATTTTACATATACAAATAGACTCTTGTTGTTTTTATACAATATTATAATATATCATATATTACAAGGCATATATTATAATATTATTTATTATAAGGAATACATATTTTGCTTTTGCAAGTTTGCATGACGGTTGAGCTTTTCTAGGTTTTGAGTGGTCGTATTTTTGAGTATTATTCATGTTATCTGTTGAATAGTTTTTTATCAGAGACTCAAGTATTTCAAAAATAGCCTGTAAACTATAAATAAAATAATGCATGACCAAATATATTTGGCTAGTAAAAAAAATATTTATAATAAAATATAATATGACCGTGCTATTTAATATTTGCTTTATACATTTGCTTGATGGTTCGGTGTCAACGGAAAAGTTCTTTAAATAAAAACCCAAAAAAAAAAAAAAAAATACTCGAGACTCCGTTCTTAATACATTTATTTTTGTTGATATTCTTCTGCTTCTTGATAGTTTCCATTGTTTAGGCAGGCACGCAAAACATATCGATAGCTATTAATATTATTTCGTGAGCTGCATCAAAAATACTTCTTTGAACCACAGTCGTTGGGCTTATGATGTCATTTATATGATGTACATACATAAGTGTAGGAGTGATGTTGTGTATGCATGAATGTGCAGTGTAATTCGTTTGTTGGTGTGTGTGTGTGTGTGTGTGTGTGTGCATGTGCGTTTGTATGTTTGAAAACTTGCAAATTACAATATCGCATATTCAAGTCAAACTTTTTACAGGATCCTGCTCGATTTCTTAATCATATACTGGGTTTACATACAATCCCAATAATTTTGTTTTCTTTGCAATTCCATTTAAATGCCTTCAAAATAAATCAAATTCATTATCAATTAAACAACTTTCCACACTTTGTACGTTTCAAAATACCACAAAGTATATCAAAATATTAATAAATACCAATTAAAACGAGTAGTAGAAATTTTGAAAATAGAAGAAAATATTAGATATTAATGTTTAAAAAAAAAAGAAAACAACCAAAAATAAATTAGATGTCAAAATAATTTCGTAACGGTACAAAATGTGAGAAATGTAAGATCAAAAATTAATGCCAATTAGATTAAAAATAATATGCCAAAACAAATTTGATAAGTTGAAAATTTTGTTTTTTTTTAATTTTGAAAAAGTTGAGAATTTGAAAAGTTAGGATAGATTTTTGTTTTTTGTTTATATAAAATTTATAATTTGTTTTTAGGCAAACTCACAAATCAAGTTGATCGTAGTAGAGCGAATCGTCTCCAGCGGAGCTGCGTGTATCCTCATCGCTGTTCTCCTCCTCCGAGTCCATCTCTGGCTCGTTGTCGTGCTCCTCCTCGTCCAGGTCCTCCTCAGCGCTGGCTGGGGGCATGCGCACATTGCGCTCGACTCGATCGCTGGTCTCGCTAAGAGCCAGCGCCGGCAGCGGCGAGCTGCTCTCCCAGCTGTCACTCGGCGTTGCGAGGCTGCTGGCCATTCTGCTGCTACTGCTGCTCGTTGTTGTTGCCGCTGTTGTTGTTGTTGTCGTGCTGCTCAGCTCTAGCAAGCGCTGCAACCTCTTTGTAACAAGGCGTTTTCCCGCGTTGCCTCCTCGCTGCTTTTTGCCACCCGAATTGGGCCGCGTCTTGACGCCTTTGGGGTGCTTTTTTTTGCCACCCGCGTTGCCCTGGGCCCGCGGCTTTTGCTGTGTGCCTTTGTTGGCGCCTGCTGCTGCGTGTGTGCGCTTGCCAGTTGCCGCTCCAGGCGACTTCTTGCCGCCTTGACCCTTGGGGCCGCGTTTGCGCAAAGCACCCGCGCCCGCACCTGCAGAGGCGGCCGCGACCCGCTTCAGGCAATTTTCATCATTTGGCCGGCACTTGCGCTGGTTTTTTTTCTTCTTGGGCCGGTTCATTTTACTGCTATTGCTACCGTTACCGTTAATGCTACTGTTAATGTTACTGCTAGTGCTACTGTTACTGTTAATGCTACTGCTAATATGGCCGTTGTCGCTTTGACTATTGTTACTAATACTATGCAGGCTGCTGGACCTGAACTCAGGCACAGGAACACCACTGCTACTACTACTGCTGCTGCTGCTACTGCTGCTGCTACTGCTGCTGCTACTGCTGCTGCTAATGCTGCTACTGCCACTGCTGCTGCTGCATTTGGGTCGCGGCGTGAAGTGTGCCGCGTCGATGAGCTCTATCAGCGGCTTGCCGGTATCACAGAGTTGGCGCACGCCATGCTGGACGCGATTGGCCCCAAAATTCTTGGCTATCAGCTGCTCGACGCGCTCCTGCGGCACCGTCTCGGTGATCGCATTCGTGTACGTGGACAGCTTGCCCAATGTCCTGGTGGCCGGAATTTGTGTGCGACGCGGGGCACCATAACGATTTAGCGCCAAATAGAATTTTCGCCTCGAATTCGAGTTGTATGTGGATGAGTATGTGTTGTAATTATGCAGCTCGACATTCTCGTTGAAGACACAGTCGTCGGTGAAGTCTTTCTGTAACAGTTGAGAACTAGAATTAAATTATTTGGCTATAAAATATACAACATATAAATACGCTTAGATTCTCTCTTTAGAGAATTATCGTTATGTTAACGAAATGTTAGGTAAAAGTACTATGTTAGCAAGTCTTGTCATTTACTGCCATGTTAACAGCTAAGGCACGTACGTTTAAAATTTACTTTACAGTTTCTTAGCAGCTATGGAAGAAATAAATGTCTGTTTAAGGCGTCTATCATACTGTCTTGCAGACTTCAAATATAGATCACACGCTTTTTTTTGTGCATTTTATAAGCACTTAATATCCCTATACAAAACGTTGAATTGCTATCATAGAGATCATCAACTATCTAATGGCTGCGTTGATGGTTTCTCATATGCATAACAAACAACAAGCCCAACTTTAGCAAGAAAACCCACCAGATGACCATATTGGAATAGAAGCCCAAATGCCTGAGGACTACCTACACAGTTGGCAATGGGTGTTGCTTGTTGTCGGTGGCCTTTTGTATCTAAAAGGAACGCGTATCTGTTAGATAAATGTGCTCATTATCACAGGATGTGCTCGCTATCGGCGTTGGCCATCGATAAACTCCGGCACACTGTGCCTGACGCTGACCCTGACCCTGACGGTGACGCTGACCATAAAGTTGCCTACTTTATGAATATCACATGACAGCCGCACAAAAGGACAACAAAACAAGTCGCAGACTTCAACTATTCATGGTTTAGGTAGAAATGTAAAACATCTACAAAGGATTGAGGCCCCGGCTGTGATCTCTCTGCGCCTCTCTTGCCTTTATATGCGCCGCAGCGCTTTGTTGTTTGCCCATCGGCGGATCAAATTCAATTAACAACATTGAATTAATTCGCTTGTCAGGCAATTAAAATTGTTGCGCCCAGCAAAAGAGCGAAAAACTCTTCTCAAGCAAAACAAAAAGCAAAGAAAACTCACCCAAGTGCCATGTGGCAAATGTCGACGCTTAAATTTAGAAATTAATCAGACCAAATGTCGCGCCGGCTGCCGGCTACACCAATTTGATATGAAATGAGGCATCAAGTGGGGTTGGGAGTTAATGTGAACAAAATGCGAAAAGGGGCGCTTTACGTCTGCAAAATACGGTTAAAGATGTTGACGCCATTTCAAAGGTCATCTACGCCCGCGGCTAGACAACAGTTTTTGACATAAGTGACAACAGAATGTGGCAGGGCGCGTCCATACAGCGTCTTTTATGATTCTTTCCGAAGATTTTCCGGCTATTTTTGGACTTCAATTAAGTGAAAATTGCAGTTAGAAAGGAAATGAAGTTGTCTGCTGGCATATCAAAAGCCATTAGCTGAGCACTTGCCGCTTATCAAGCTGGCGCCAGGTGGAAAGGGTCAAGGGTCAGTGTTAGACACACGCCTACAACAAAACCAAAAGAAAAGAAAATCGGTACCACTCAAGCCCAACCACATTCTTTTGGGCCCGACTTTATCAGCTAAACAGGACCATAACAATGATAATGCCGCAACATATTCATTGGCAATGGAGGAATGACTGGGCATTAATTGATCACCGTGGTGGATGCACCGCGGGCGGTCGGCTTTTTGTCTGTTCTGACTGCCTGTTCAGAGATTCCAGTCACAGCTCAAATTATGCAAATTAATAATCACATTTATATACTTATGGCTAAAATATTTTAATTGGCCAACACCGTTGGCCGAGACGCTGACTCACGCCCGTCTCTCCCTCTCTCTGTCTATCCCTCTCTTTTTTGGTTGCCAACAAAATTATGAATTGGCAAACGTTTTGGGATTTCAATTAGCTGCCCCATTAGTCAGCTAATCAAATCAGCTGCCACACGGTCACAAGATCGCAACATTGCTGGCATTTCAAAATGCATTAAGGCGGGGAGAGCAGAATGCGGGGGACTACAAAAAAGGAAAACAATTCGCAATTGCACGAAAATCTATTTTAAAGTTGCTGAGAAAGCGACTTTAATGGAAATATATATTTAAATGAGCTATTTAAATTATATGCATGGGGACTTTTTGCTTAGCACCTGCTCTTTCAGAAAAAGTAAAAATAACTCAAATAAATCGTTAGAAAAGGGTTTACAATTTTTGACAATTTGTTAAATATCAAGAAATATAACATATATTCTATAATTTCCGTTTTAATGATTTAAATAATAGATAATAAATATAATATAGCAAATAATTAAACAATAAAATTAAATAATACTAATTGTATTGATTATGATAATAAGAAAAATAATAATATAAGTAGTAGTAGTAATACTAATAACACAATTATGATAAATAATTAATTACAATAATATTAATAATAATAATATTGATTATAATAATATTAATAAATGAATTATCATAATAATAATAGTAACAAAAATAATAATAATAATAAAATTAATAATAATAAATTTATACAAAACTATGAATGATTCTAAAAATTGTAAACAATTTATTTTTAATAAAATTTGCAAAATTTCTCAATAACATAAAATTTTAAAATAAAACAAGAAAGATTTTAAGAAAGAAAAGTTATATATATACATATATTTTTTTTTTGGTATGCGCATCTAATAGCTAAACGACATATTCACTTCCTTGGGAATTTCAAAAAGAAATATAAACGGTAAAAACTACTCTTAAAATGATGCTCAGAATGAAATGAAAGAAAAACTTCATTGTAATAAAAAAAAAGCTTGGAGTAGAAAGCAAAACAAACAAAACAAACTTTTGACAATACAAATTTGTTTTTCATAAAAAATAACTATAAATCTTTAAACTTCTTATTTATTAATATTATTCATGTGACAAATTATTGAAATTAAAATTACAAATTAAAGAACTCGCTCAATCTAAAGTTACGCCGGAAATGCGTAAGTCAGCCAATACAAATTGTAGCCACTTCCGTTGCCCAATACAAAAAAACCAAATCCAATTCCAATTCACAGCTCGAAACTTTGAGCGGAAATCATGAAATTTTAGCGAGAAGGCAGAGAGACAGAGAGAGATTGATTCTTTCGCTGGCTGGTTCTTTAGAAATGCACAGACTCTGGCGGACGGTCGCCAAAATAAACAAAAAGCCGCCCAAATACAACGCCCACTTGACCAACTTAGTGAAATGCTTGAAAAATGCGGCGCCATCAAAGGGCCGCAACGGCAGAGCAAAGTGTTGCCGCGTTGCGCGTAGAAGAGCATCAATCAACAGCAAGTATCTGCAGCTATGGCTGCAAATGTATCTGTATCTGTCAGATACAAAACGCGCCTCGCCTGACAGAATTGGCACAAACGCGTCTATTTTGGCTGCTGCATGCGCATAAGGTCAAAGGGCGACGACAAAACTCAAATTCTCAATGGTAATCAAAGCGAAACAACGGCAACAACTACAACAACAACAACAACAACAATGCCGCCGCCGCTTGGCGCCATGCGGTGAGAAATGCGAAGCGCAGTGCAGCGGGAAGTCGTCGGCCAGAAAGTGTCACATTAATTATCAACAGGACACGCCAGGACCCTGCTCACTTGCCACTTGACGACGCACCCCAAAAAAAACAAATATATAAAATAAAACAAACCGAAACCAAAACCCATTCGAATGCTCTAAAAAAAATGTATATATATATAAGGACAAAGGATATAGGGATATCTTTAGGTGTGCTCTGTTTGTTGTTGTCTCCTTGAGGCTTTTTGTTGTTGCTTACTTCACTCGACGCACTTAATGTTGTTATTTATGGCTGGATCTTTTGTTTGTTTGGGTCTTTGTTATTGGACATTATCGAAATTTGCTGCTTCAGTTGACGATAAGGCCATATAATTGTAATTGAAATCATAATTTCGAATACAATGAAAACAATCCATCAGAATTTAGTTTATTATCTGTGCGGCAAATGGCGCCTTGTGCAAAATAATTGGGTCGGAAATTCTAGGACTTAGAGAGAAAGAGAGGGATTAGAATTGATTTTTGGTTAGATATTTAAATTTATAATATTCTTATATTCGAAAGATTGGGACATTAAATTTATAAAAATGGGCGTTTTTTGTCTTATAAATTAGAGCTTGATTTTTTAGCAATAAGCTAAATATTTCCTTGACTAATCTCGAGGCGAAAAGAATGGACTGAATCGTATTAAAAGCTATTAATGAATAATTATAAAATAATTACAAAACGCAAAAACTAACAAAAGGGATGAATTTTATTGCCATAAGCGGAACTAGGACCAAGAATTGATAGAGAAGGGGAAAGCCAAAAGAAAATAGAAGTCGGGATTGAATAAATATTATAAAAAATCAAAATGGATAAAATAAGATATTGTGTTATGAAATGGGATTGGTCTGGTCTAGGATCAGCAATCGAGAGAGAAAGAAACAGCGAGAGAGATTTTAAATATATGGAATCAGATTATGTGAAATGAAATGGAATAAAAATATTCGCATCTCCTGCGTTATCCTGAGTCTAAACTGTAACTACTATCCTACTGCATTGTTTACTTACCGAGGCATAGGCTGCGCCACAAGCATCCATGCACAGATACAAGCAGGTGGCCACACTTTGTATCTTAATACGACCCACATCCACAGTTGAGCGCTGCAGAATGGCTAAAAAGAAAAGAAAGCAGGGCACAAGTATTAATTAATTATCAATCAATTTCCAGCTGCGACTTTACAAAAAAAAAAGAAATAAAAATATAATAAAAAATCACACAAAAGCCGCTTGATTAGCCGACCCAGAACCAGTGTGTCAGGATGTCAGTGAAGTGCCCAAAGCCCAGACCCAGTTCAGCCCAATCCAGGCACAGTCAAAGCTGTTAATTAAATGTCCGACACTTTAAATGCTGTCAAAAGAAATTGCAGCCACGTTTTGGACAGATAAAAAAGAAATGTAGCCCGCACTTACAGCTATCCAAACAAGCCATGTATATCAAAAAGCTATTCCAAACCAATAAAAAATAAATAAAAACAACATTTAATCAGACAAAGTACGCCCTACGTATTTGAACTCGTACTTAATCATGGCCTAGAGCTAGCCCAAGAGTTTAGCGTGCAGCGCCACTGCTGTGCAAAATTTGTCAACTGTAGCTGGGGCGTTGCTGGCTAAAGTGAGGTTATAAATGGCATATTTGGAGGTTAATTGAAATTGCCGCACTTGAATCGAAGTGAATTTCAAGTTCAGGCACATTGTAAAGGTCAAACCACTTGTGTGGCTGCAGGGACCGCCCGCCCGGCAACGGATTGTCAATTCCCAGTTGCCTGTTGTGTTGCCTGGCCAAAGTGTGTCAGCACTTTGTTGCCGGCACAACCACACACACACACACAACCACACACACACACACACACACGCACACACACACGTTCAATGAACCTTATGCACTTGGTCCCTAATAAACAAGATTTTTGTAAATACTTGAACTGCACCTTGTTATGAACCAATTGAAGTCTGAGCAGATGCGGATATCATCAAAGCAGCCCAAAAGTACAAAAAAAAAATATATAAAAAAAATTATTAGTGCGCCTTGCAGGGAGTTAATGCCGGAATACACTTCGAAGATCTGATTTTTGGCTGCTGCTAAAAACCATTGAGTGCCCACTTGAGTGATCGAAAAATTGATTTTTGACGCCAAACGAAAGTGAACGAACACTGAGTGTGTTTTCTTTTAAAAGTTGTTTATGTTACGGTAATGATCGACTATGAATTACATGGATAAAGACGCGCTGATTGGTCCGCAGTTGGCGCTAGCAAAAAATTACAGTATATTTATAACTATAAATTATTTATAATGGGTAAGTTGGGCTCGTGAAAATGTATTTAACAGGGAGAAGGAAGCATCCCCGACTCCATAAAGTTCATATATTCTTGATCAGCATTAATAGCCCATTTGTTCAACGCATGACCATCCGTCTGTCCGAATGTATTACCGCAAGGATCTCAGAACCTATAAAATTCGGAGATTTAACCGTAGGTCCACCTCCGATAATCGAATCGTTTAAAAGCGATAGGTAAAAATCGATATCGAAATAATAATGCTTTTTAAGCAATTATTTTATGTTTAAAGAGCTTTTATATTCACGAGCTAGACAGAAAAGTGTATACAGATCAACTATCTTTCATTTTATACCTGCCCCCACCAAGAAGATTCAGGGTACTTCCTAGTTGGGTATTGCCAACTAGAACATATTTGTCTAGTTTTTATGTGAGCACTTTATGAGCCATGTCTAAAGGAAATTGAAAAAAACTTGCTATACGCATAAGCAATAACAAAATGTCTTGGGAAAAGTCGATGAAATTGTGGCAGGCAGCCAGCAGAAGACGCCAGTAAATATTTACGATGGTAACTTTTGGCAATATGTGAGCACGTTTTGAGCTATGACAAATGGAAATTGAACTAGGGCATCATATTACATGACATTTTCCAAGAAAACTTGATGGAAAGTAGGCGTAAACTTGTGATATGCGTAAGTGCGTAAAAATGTCGGTTATGGCAAACGCTTGCATAGAACTTTTTGCTAAAACTGTGTCAAAGATAAGCAGACGCCAGGGCGGCGCAATAAAAAGTTTTATAAAAAATATTAAAAAAAAATAAAATAACAATTGGTTTCAATAGCTTTTTACGATTTACGGCCCAGCGTATCCGTAGTTGCAGCTATGTATCTATTGTATTCGTATCTCTAGCTGCAGCTAAGCTAAACAAACTGGAGCAACAAACAACATTGAGGCATTTTTGTTAAATGCATTTCTGGTCGTTTATTTACAGCAACACGGAAATTATAAAGTTGCCGCCGGATAAAAAAAGGAAAATTGTTAGCCTGTGCTTGATTTATAATTTCCACGCAGCTAAAGTCCAAAAATCGAAGCCATGAATAATTGCAATTGCGCCTTAAAAAAATATATGTGTATCTACAAAAATGAAAAAAAAAAACAAAATAAATGATATGCTAAGCACTTCTGTTCATTTGTTAGAAAAAGTAGAGGGAGTTCGTTGTAGAAGGGGCCGAAGAGGCGGCGCTGCTAGTGACAGCCTTTCACTTTGTGTGTGTCCAAATGTCGCGTTTGGTGTTGCATTTCACTTGGCTTGCCCCATTTAAAAAGCGATTTGTTTAGCTCGAGTTAACATAAGTAATTTTTCTTGTTTTTATCTCTTTTTAATTTTTTTGTTTTTCGATATACATACATATGTGTTATACATATGAACAAATTTAGTTCGAATTATGTATGTGGGTCGCACAACGAATCGCTCAAAATTCATATTTCCAGGCATTTATTCTTGTTTTTTTTTTTTTTTTTTTTTTTTTTTGTGCTGCTCCCATGGTCCGCTGCTGCTGTGTTAAATTTAACCCTCGAATCAGCAATAGCAACAAAAACAACAACGGTGTGAGCAAGAGCGAGTGAGAGAGACAGAAGTCGAGAGCGCCTATTCAAAACACGAAACGAGCAAACTTGTGGTTCGCTCAGTGCTGCTTGTCATGGAACTTTTTGCGCGATGCTTGCAAGAGGCGCCGTGGCTTAGTTGGTTAAAGCGCCTGTCTAGTAAACAGGAGATCGTGAGTTCGAATCTCGCCGGGGCCTAGCGATATGAAATTAGTCGCACAGAAAATGCTATTTTATTTTTTTAAAGCATAATATTTTTAAAGTTAAAAATAGTAGAAATTTTTAGGATATTTTAGAAATTTTTTTTAATTATATATAAAGTAAACCAAGAAAATTTAATAAATTTTACAAATTAACTAATAAAACTTTTATTTTATTATTATTATTGGATTATAACTATTAAATTATATAATATTGCTTTTCGATTTTTATTATAAGTTAAAATGTGTTTGAGCAAGCTAAGCCAATCCAGATAAGAAATCAATACAAACTAATAATACTTTTCGCTTCGTAGAGGTGTGAAATAAATGCATAATAACAATACCCGAATGATCATTTATTGAACAATAAATGAGCTGGCAGCACACAAATTGCTCGGCAGTTCATTGAACCAACCTGTGAAATGTATTTGGGAACAGGAAGCGTACGCAGAAACACAAATTCGAATCAAAATCGAATATTATGAGTTTTTTCAAATTCAAATCCCAAATTCGAGGCACGCATTTGAGCTGCTTTAAATTGCCCACATATTAAGCACGTAGACGAGTCAGAAAGGCACGCACTCTCAATAATTAAAATGTCAAAATATGCCTGTCAAAAGGGTGAAGTTCTTCTGGAATTGAGTTATGTGACAAACTTGAAATATTTCCCCACCTCACTCCCGTGGTTAAACTACTCGGTTAATCACCGTTGAAGGCGCACAATTTATGCAAATGAGGCCTTAATTTCGAGACTTTGTCGCCGACTCGACAGTCGATAATGATAAAATTTATGATCGGCTCTTTCAATAAAAATTGACAAAAAAAATAAAAAATTTCAAAAAAGTTGTTTTATTTCGTATTTTTAATGTGTGCATAAGAGTCAAGCACATAAAAAAACACATGCATATATTACTAAATGTAGTTTTCCTTTATATTTTTAATTAAAATTACAAAGAAAATTATTTGTGATATATAATACAATCTTCGCAGCGCTTTGTGGTTATTTAACATAATTTGACAGAGGCCCTATAGAGTCAACCACAATAGATTTTTACTACTGTGCGCCGTTTTTATGATCGAGTTATGTTTCTCCTTTTTTGTTTTTTTTTTTTTCTTTAATTTTTATTTTATAATTTATGTATGTGGACAGCGTATTTTGACAATTTAATAGCATTTACAGACTCAATGCATATCAATCAAATAAATGGTATCTTATAGATACATAGCATGTTGGGCAGCTAAGCTTTGCAGCAATTAAAAAATAATTATTGCCCGCTTAGTTGAGTTGTCTATTCAAAGGCAATAAATCTTTAGAGTTAAGATTGGGTTTTTGCGGAATATACATGAGCGCTCAGATAAGCGCTTTATACGCATATCTATTAGCACTCGGAGCGGTAAAATGTTTATTGCGGGGGGCCCCGTTTTGAAAGTGAAAACTGCCTATGAAATAATGGCTGGCTGTGGGAAAGCAGACAGTGCTCTCACCCTTATAAAGAGCTCGAGAAAATTGAAAAATACATATCTTATCTTTTATTAACACCCATTCAATGTAAACGTTTGCCAACACACGCATTTTCACAGTTGGCTACGTTTTTTTTATATTTTGTTTTACCCCCGTGTATCTGTACGCAATTATTATTATCATATCGGCAGCTATGGTTCGGTGTGCCAATAATCGAATTGCATTTTATATATATATACTTATGTGTCTCTTTTTTTTTTTGAGGGGGTAGTCAACGGATTTCCTGCGCATTCGCCCAATATCCGATAGGGCAAATGCGCATAAGTATAAATTATAAAACACATTGACAGCTGACGACTTAGGGGTTGCTATAGATTGGCATAGTTGTTGTCAATCCGGACACGCCCACATATGGCAAATGAGAAAATGTATAAAAATGCCTGCATATGTGTTAGTTCCAGCATTTTCATTAGTTTCTAGATCTATTGTAATGATACAAACGTTGACATTGATGGGATTTGTCAGGCTGCGTTTAATCTCATAAGCTACGTCCCCCTAGCTGTGCGAGGCT